GATGCCACGGCACTCACTCTAGCCTGGGCAACAAAGTGAGACTCTGTCTCAAAAAAAATAAACAAATAAAAATAAATAAATAAATAAAAAAGAATCATTTAAAATAATGACCTTCTGTCAAAGGCCTAAACCCCTGCTGCACCCACCTGCCTTCCTAGATTAGCTCTTCGTTGGAGGTAACAAGTATTTTCTTTTTAAAATCCAGGGGCTTTAGGGAACAGTCAGTGGCTCTCAGGAATTTTGTTAGTGAGAGATTAGTCCCACCCTGCTAGCTTTCCTCCTGGGTCTGCTGACGTATGTGCCTGCTCTCAAATGATGGGACTTTTGTTAGGGGACTGGCGGGCAAAGCAAGTAGCTTCAGGCTGTGTGTGTGGGGGGGGTGGACGTGGAGGGGAGGCTTGGCTCAGGGGGCCAGCACCCCAAGATTGTGTGAAGGTGCTGGGCGTGCAGCAAGAGAGAAGAGTGCTCTCGGAGAGGAGATGCCAAGAACAAACTTCATCTCTTTCCAAATTTTGCTCTACTTCCAGTTCCAAACTGGGTTCTAGTCAAAACTGCTTTTTCAAAAAAAGAAACAGGCCGGGCGAGGTGGCTCACGCCTGTAATTCTAGCACTCTGGGAGGCCTAGGCGGGAAGATCGCTCAAGGTCAGGAGTTTGAAACCAGCCTGAGCAAGAGCGAGACCCCGTCTCTACTAAAAATAGAAAGAAATTAATTGGCCAACTAATATATATAGAAAAAAAAAAAGTCATCCGGGCATAGTGGCGCATGCCTGCAGTCCCAGCTACTCGGGAGGCTGAGGCAGGAGGATCGCTTGAGCCCAGGAGTTGGAGGTTGCTGTGAGCTAGGCTAACACCACGGCACTCACTTTAGCCTGGGCAACAAAGTGAGACTCTTTCTTAAAAAAAAAAAACAAAAAAAAAAACCTGTGACTAAGCAGATTGCAAACCCTACAACCAGGTGAGCTGTCCCGACCACCCCATGCCAACGCTCACACCTGAACCCCCAGTTGGGGCTACCATAGGAGCCACGTTGGTGGGAGGAAAAGCAATGAATCCAAGCACTTAGGAAAATTCTCTGGTTCCACAATGGCAAAGGAAAAGAATTCAGAGACACACACACATATGTTCACATGCAGGCCTGCACATGCACAAACACACAAGCACCCAAACCAATCACTCACCCAAAAGTTGAAAAATATTTTCTTCCAACTAACCTGAATGCTCACATTTTACTTTGTTACACTGCCTTAGCCCAGATAGGTTAAAACAAATGCCCTTAACATTTTGGGGGTCACAGACTTAAGAATCATTGAGGCCAGACGCGGTAGCTCACTCCTGACATCCTAGCACTCTGGGAGGCCAAGGCTCCCAGGTCAGGAGTTCAGGAGTTGCTCGAGGTCAGGAGTTCAAAACCAGCCTGAGCAAGAGCGAGACCCCGTCTCTACTAAAAATAGAACGAAATTAATTGGCCAACTAATATATATAGAAAAAAAAAAAGTTATCCAGGCGTGGTGGCGCATGCCTGCAGTCCCAGCTACTCGGGAGGCTGAGGCAGGAGGATCGCTTGAGCCCAGGAGTTGGAGGTTGCTGTGAGCTAGGCTGATGCCACGGCACTCACTCT